GTTGAAGTGTTCAGGGGAAAGTGTACTATTGTCTGCAATTTACTTCAAAACACATAAGAAGAAAAAAGAAGGTGGACTTATGGGTGGATGGAGGGAGGAACAGATGGATGGATATAGGGTAAAGTATTATTTTAAAAAATCAGTGCAAGGGGACCGGTATAGCTCAGCGGTAGAGTGTGTGCTTAGTATGCACGAGGTCCTGGGTTCAATCCCCAGCCCTCCATTAAAAAAATAAAAATAAAAATAAATGTATATACACACACACACCTAATTAAGCCACCCACACACAACCCCCCCCCAAATTTTAAAAACTTCTAAAACAAAAAAATCAGTGCAGAACCTAGGCAGAGGTTGGTGTACTTCGCTGTGACATAATTTCAACTTTACTGTATGTTTGAAATTTTTCATAATAAAATGTTGGAAATAATTTAATGAAAACCAATTTAAAACACCACTCATTGTCAAAAAACTGGCAAATACAGAAAGGTAAACCCCCAAATCTCCAATCTTACAACTCAGCAGTATTTTGTTGCGTTTCCTGCCTGCCTTTTTCTAGGCATTTGTCAGCATAGTGGATCCCAAAATTAGGATAGTGCTGTGGGTGTTTTTCTTTCATTCCTGCTTCTGTTACATACCAACGAGGGTCACCAACGTGCAAGACATGCAGGCACCATGGTGGGCCCTTTGCAAAGATTACCTTATCTAATCATTACATCTTCCCGACAGTATTGCCCCCATGTCTGTGAACCGAGCGAGCGTCGTCTGTAATAGCTACATGAGAGATATTCCATCATATGGAATTGTTTAGCTGTTATTGGAAGTTTAGTTTGTTTCCCATTTTTCACCATTGTAAGTACAGGCAGGCCTTGGAGACAGTGCCGGTTCGGTTCCAGACCACCTCAATAAAGCAAAAATGGCCATCAAGCAAGTAGCACAAATTTTTTGGTTTCCAGTACATATAAAAGTTATGTTCACACTAGACTGTGGTCTATTAAGTGTGCCCTAGCATTATGTTTTTTTTTAAATGGACATACATTAATTAAAAAAATACTTGATTGCTAAAAGATGCTAACCATCATCTGAGCCTTCAGGAAGTTGCAAACTTTTTGCTGGTGGAAGGGTTTGCAGTACGCCAAGACTTACCAACATGTGACACACAGACACGTGTGAGCAAGTGTTGTTGGAAAAATGGTGCTCATAGACTTGCTTGACATGGGGTTGCCTAAAACTTCAATTTGTAAAAAAACGCAGTATCTGTGAAGCACTATAAAGTGGAAGTGCAATAAAACGAGGTCTGCCTGTAACGCTCTGGAGCACCCTGGGGCAGAAGACGTGCTACTCATTCCTGTACCCCTTCCCGCAGGACGGCTTCCTCGCCTGAGCATTTATCTGGCTCCAGGTCCGATTAAAGAATCACCACCCCCTCCTCTTGCAGACATTTCACTGTCCTCCTTGGGCTCCCTCTTGGGGCCCCTTGGGGGGCTGGAGGCAGCGCCCACTAAGACACAGCCCCTCTCCCCCATGCCGGGCCCTGAAGCCCAGGGAGGGGCAGGGCCACGCCCAGGAGGCCCACAGCTGGTTAGTACCAGACTGTGGCTTCAGCGCCTCTCCGTCCCTGGAGAGAGGGGCTTGTTGGGGAGCATGGGGGTCAGATGTCAGGAGGCCCGTGGGGGTGCAGGGCCTAGAGGACATCTCTGGAGTTGGGGGGTGGCATCTAGAAAGAATGTGGCCATCAGCGAAGAGCAGTAGGGTGGGAAAGATCTTTTAATTTTATCTTTGTAGTCAAATGTGTCATTTACATCCCACGTCTGTCCGCTAGTATCTGCTCCTCGGTCCTTAGAAGATACTTTGGTCTTGTTTCTCTATCTCTATGTTAAACCTGGAGTTCAAAATCAGACCGCCGCCTCGGTGCTGGCCGCTAATGGAGAGAGGAGGATGGAGAACTTGATGACCCCAATAATCCTTCTGCTCTGCTTTTTCAGGGAGGTGGTGAGGCTCGGGGGACAGAGGCACCTGGCCTGGAACCCCAGATCTGCCAGGTGACCTTGGGCACACGGGTGTTGTCCCCGTTCCCCAGCCTCAGTTTCCCTATCTGTAAAGCAGAGGCAATGCTTTCTGTTTCCATGGGTGGTGAGATAGAGCACACGCAGGTGTGCATCACCAGGGCCAGGCGCACAGTAGGCCCCTGCCTTGTGAGTGGGATAGCTTTCTCCCCACCTCAACCTTTTCCCGCCTCCTTAGGGAGGTCCACTGACTTGCAGACTTGGCTCGGCTCCATCTCGCCCAGCTCTCTTCCCTGTAGCCTGAGTGGAATGTTTTCTCTTCCCTCCTCCTCCTCCTCCCTTTCCTGTGCACTGTCTGTGGGACTCCTCCAGTGTCCCAGGCTCCCCCGGGGCGGCCCGAGCCCTCTCCCCGCCCGGCTCCTGCCCTATAGCCCACCAGGCTGTTTCCAATTTGGACACGATGCATCTTGCCCCTTCAGATCGTAGCCGCCTCTTTGATGGAACTAATGATGATCTAGGGCTCCGGGGCCCTGGACCTCCCCAAACTGAGATAAATCCTGCCTCTTCGCAGACAAGGGGACTCCATCCCTGTGTCTGATCCCCCTCCTCCAGGCCGAAGGGGAGGCGTCTCTGGGAGACGCTGTGAAGGTCTGACCCAGGGAGACAGGAAGAGAAGGATTTTTTCCAAGGCTCCGAAGAGGGTCCTAGCATCCAGTGGGGGTGTGGAGAGGGGAGTTGGTAGGCTTGCCAGCTAGGCACCCCTTATCCCAGTAAGACTCAGGGGCACAAGCTGGAGCAGGAAGGAAATCACTTAGGCTGGCACTCGGTTGTCCCAAGCAGCCCCCAACAGCTTCTTCGCACTGTTGGGGATACAAGGAGGAATAAGACACTACTTCTTGTTCCCAGGGACTCACGCTGAGGGAGAGGGATGGACAAACAGACTGTGTGCTGGGGTGGCAGTGGTGGAAGTGGGAGCTGTGGGAGCATGGCAGAAGGAACCTGACCTAACCTGGGGAGCCCGGAAGGCTTCCTGGAGGAGGCAGTCCTGATCCTGGACCTTATACAAGTGCCCTACTGGGCAGATGCTGTGCCTCGTGCATAAAGAATTAAAAATAGAAAAGGATAGTAAGCCCTAAATCACAAAACTTAAACATATGCGAAAAATGAAAGAGCCCTTTCTTGATTTTCTGATTTGAAAATTTGGATGAGCTTGTCAACGAAACTTTCTGGTTCTGCTGGTGCCCTTTGCAAACACTTGGATATTGCCTGGCACTGGCTGAGTGGAGACTGGGCAGTAAAGGGGAATGAGTACATGAGGAGGGTGGGCATTCCACAGAAGGGTCTGAGAAAATTCGACACTGTGGGTGTTAGGGTTGGCAGTGGCTCCAAGTAGCTAGAGTTCCAGGTGCCTGGTGGTGGATGTGTGTCTGGGCAGGAGGTGTCACTCGGGGGATAATCTGCTTTTATACCTCTGTGGCTTTCCCTGAACCCAGAGTGACTCTGGGGCAGGGAATGTATCATCTCTACCGCATAGACCAGGCCGAGGCCAGAGCTGGGGCAGGTCCAGGGGACAGATGGAAGGGGGGGCCCATGGAGCCACACTAAGAGGTTGGTTTTATCCAGTTAAAGATGAGGAACCACTATCAGTTAGCAAGTTGGAGCCATCCAGGAAATCCTCTCTGGGCACTGGGGCTGCTGCCATGCCTCCCATACTGCTCCCCAGCAGTCCCTGGATTCACTGGGATTGACTGGTATCCCTTGAGCACATTGTGTCTCTGAGCCGGGCCATTGGGTTGCGGGGAGCGGTGGGCCCCATGCTTTGGGGGGTTGGGGGGCTTGTGTAAGAGCCAGTAGTGAGGGGAGTGGAGGGGGTAGAAAGATCTGCTTTTGCCCAAGGACACTCCTTTCTGGAGAGGCAGCCCCTCAGCTGGCACCCCTTTCTTCCCAGCACCCCCAACCCTGCCTCTCTGCCTTCCTAACCTTTCACCTCCTTCTCTGTCACCTGCTGTTGCCAGCAGCCCAAATTCTACCTCAAATGTATTAATTCAAAAATTAACATTAATTCAGGATTAAAGAAATATCTTTGACTTTCTGAGGGTGTCGCAAAGCTGGGTGTGAATTTATTAACTCTGCCAAGGGCTCTGCCCAAACCACTGTGGTTGAGCATCAAAAACACACGTGATCCTCGGGCATGGTGGTGGTGGGGAGCAGGTACTCAGCCGCGCCCTCCATAGCCAGCTCCTCCCTTTGGGGGGCTAACGCAAAGCAGGGGCTTCTCTTGGGGGCATCTCAGTCATCTGCTTGGGGGGCTCAGAGAGCCTGGGCCCGAACTCTACCTACCCCCAATTTTCTGAGCCCTGTAGCTCCTCAGAAGAGGCTCTGGCGAGGCCTTCCTCCAGGCTGGTAGTGACCCTTTGCAGGGGCCAGAGGGAGGGATGAAGATGATGGAGGTGGGGGAGAGCTCTGTCAGTTGTCCTTGCCATGGGCCAAGCCCTTCCTATCCAGTGCTGCCACTTTGAGCTGCTTCTGTCTGGAATCCCACCCTAGAAGCCCTTCTCATCTTCCCAAATAAGGAGTGTGTGGCCCCAGTCTCTGCTAGATGGGAAACCCTGAGGGCAAAAGCTGTTCTTGCTCATTTTTTGAGGCCAGTGCTTTGCTCAGGGACTGTGAATACAGTGGGTGTCTAATAAATGCAGTATGGAACTCTGGATCCAGCACACCCTCTCCAGTCATCCATCAGACAGCTGTGGCCCTTGGAGAGTGGGCTTTGGGGGAGGTGGTCTTAGGTGGGGGCTCACCCAGAGGCCTTATGGGGGGTAGCTGGCAGTCGTCCTGCCCGGTGAGCTGGGCCAGGCACGGACCTCCACCTTGGCTTTGCAGAAGGCGCCCGCAAAGGGCGGAGGTTTCTCACTCAGGGCGGTAGCCCTGCATCCGGAGGAGGTGGCGGAGGCTGCAGTCTGTGCCCATCACCTGAGCTGCACCGGGCTGGGAGGATAACAATTATTGGGAGAGGTTTAAAAAAAAAATCATTATCAAATAACTATAGCTTGAAAAAGTTGGCGGGCTGGAGGGAAAACGTGGCCTGGATTGCGCGGTGGCCGCCTCCGCTCCTGGCGCGCCGCGCCGCGCCGCGGTAGCCAAAAATGGAAGGAAGCACATCTGTAACGCATTTATGTGATGTTCACCTTTGAGACCGCGCGGTTGCAAGGAGGCGGTGAGTTCACGCGAAAGGAAAAACTCTTTAAGAGGGCTTCCCTTAGGGGACCTGCCGGCGCGGGCGGAGCAGGACGCGTGCGGGGTGGGGATGGGGGTGGGGGTAGGGGGTGGGGGTAGAGCTGAGACCACCTCTCTGAGCCTCAGTTTCCCATCTATGCAATGAAATGGCCGCATTTTAAGTGCCCTTCCAGTGGGAACATCCTAAGAGTCCCATCTGGTCACTTGTGATTCTGTAAGTGTCCCTGGAAAGGAGAGGGACTTGCCCCTGGGTGGGGACTGGGCGGGGCCCTCCTCTTGTCCTGCGGGTTGACAGGCTCCTGTCATTGCATTCCCAGCCCTCTCTCAACATTCCAGAGCCCATGACGTCTTCTAAGTGAGCATTTGTCTCCTGAGCGAGACCAAACCCACCTTCCAGAGCAGTCACCGCTTTGCCCATGCAGAGGAGTGCGAGGTGGGGGAGGTGACCCTGCCCCTTCAACCTTCTCTTTTCTAGTCATTCTCACCTCTTGGGTCTTTATTCACACACCCCCTCCCTCGGCCCCCTTGACATCCCCTGTCTCCCCCAAATTCCCTTTGCCCTGATCCCCATCACCTGTCCACCTCCCTCCTGGGGATTTCCTTCCTAGAGTGGTCAGCATGGGGTCCAGCCCTCCCCCCGCCCCCTCATCACTTTGAAGGTGGCCCAAACTTCCCCAGCCTCACATCCCAGGGCCCAGTCCTGCCTCCCAAGCAAAAGTGGACTTCAGGCTGCCTCAGGCTTCCCAAAGGGCCTCTGAGCTTTTCAAAGTTAGAGGGGAGGCTGGAGAGATGCAGGAGTGAAGTGCAGGGACTCTTCCCCCTGGACCCCACTGTGCCTGGGAGGGCACACACACACACACACACTATCCTCACTTGCCCAAGAGAGGCACAGCTGCGACAATCCCAAGGCCCAGGACTTCTATCTACAATATTCTGTTCTTCCTCGCCTTTGCCCACCAGGAGACAGAAAACACTGGAAAGCTATTGTCAGGTGGAACCAGAAGTACACAGTCCCTTTGCACAGCCTGTGTTCACGTGCTCATTTAAAAATAGTGAAGATGGGGTGGAGGCAGGGTATAACTCAGTGGCAGAGCGTGTGCTTAGCATGTGTGAGGTGCTGGGTTCAATACCCAGTCCCTCCATTAAAAAATAAATAAATCTAATTTAAAAAATAAATAAACCTAATTTTAAAAATAAATAAATAAACCTAATTCCCCCCAATCACCCCAAAAAATGGTGAAGATGGAAATGAAAATTTTGTTATGTGTATTTTCCAACAAAAGAAAATTGGGGAGATAAAAAGGTAGAGAAAGAATTTGAACTCAGGCCGTTTGGCCCGAGTCTGTGCTCTAATCTCTGCTCTGGACTACACACCTGAAGATGCTCAATTAATATCTGTTGAAGGGGCGAATGGGAAAATGGATGAGTGACCTCAGAGACTTTCACACAAGTCAGTTTTCCTTGTACTCCTGGCACCTCGGTGTCCCCATTTTACACACGGCTCTGGCACACGCGGTCCCTGGTTTGTGAATACTGGTCTCGGCACTTTCAGCTGTCTGTCTCCTTCCCTTGGCTTTTTCTCTCCTCCCTCAGGCACCTTCCGGGGCAGCGCTGCACTGCCTGGCTGGGGTCAGGGTAGGGGGTGCAGCCAGGCAGCAGAGGCACCAAGGACTGCCACCTGGGGCTCTCGTCCAGCTCTGCCCTCCTCAACTGTCGCTTTTCCACTCACCTTCTACGTGGTCATGATCCTGGGTAGCAGCATCCGAGCGATTCCATGACCCTCTCCAACACTGACTTCTATTTTGGATCCCGGAGTTCAGCCTAGTGGGTTACTGAGGCTGTCGGGATTCCAGCTGGGTCGTTCCCCTGAGTTTTGGTTGCATCTGAACTAAAGTTAGGGGTGCCAAGGTCTGGCCCCATGAGCCCCACTTGGCTGTGGGAATCTGTTTCCAGGTAACAGGTGAGAGAATCTCTTTTGCCATCCCTGGTCAGAGTTTGGCCAACCCAGCCCTAGGCCTTGCCTTTATCTCTGCTTACTGTGGGAGAATTTCTCCCGATTGAATCCAGCTTAGCTCTCCCTCTCTGCTCATTTATCACATCTGTTCCACATCTGTTCCTTTTCTTTTGATTTTTGGGTTTTTTTGATTTTGATTTTTTGTTTGTTTTTTGAGGGGGAGGTAATTAGATTTATTTATTTATTATTTTAATGGAGGTGCTGGGGATTGTACCCAGGACCTTGTGCATGCTAAGCATGTGCTCTACCACTGAGCTACACTTTCCTCCTGCCGATTGCACCTGTTCCTTACCTGGCCCAGACACTGTACAGGTTCGGAGGATTGGTCTGATCTGGGTCGGTGTTGAACACGGACCTTGGACAGGCCCAGAGGGATATTCAGGGGGCCTGAGAGCTGACTTGGCTACAGGTGATCAGGAGTCCAGACCCTAGCCCTCCTAGGGTGAGAGGCAGAGTAACATTTGGTCAGGAGGTAGGTGCACCTCAGGTGGGTGGGCATCTGGGGACAGGAGCAGGTGGCAGGAGGTTGCGGGCAGCCTGGCAGCACCGAGTGATGCTGAGGACAGGCTCTGGGGTCTGGGAGGAATGCGGATGGCCAGGTGTGGTCTTGGCCCCAGACTGCCATGGGTTCTGGGCAGATTGACAAGGACAAGGGTTCTGGGCAGATTGACAAGGACAAGGTGGGGCCCAGATGATGTGGGGCCCAGGGCTGGAGGCTGGGCTATACCCTGGGGGCCCCAGGAGGGTGGAGGACAGTTATTAGAACTGGGCCACAGGTTCAGATGGAGCTCACACCACCGGGCATCCGGAGGTCTTTGCCTGAGGAGTGCTAGGAAGCAGAAAGAGGAGGAAGAGCCGGTTTCTACAGCAGATTCTTTCACTTTGCATTAGTCACAAATAATGCGGAACTCCTAATTCGCGGACCAAAGTGAGCCCCTGGGCCCAGCAGACCTGGCTGCCTCTCGGTTATCCATTTGGTGGATTATTTTGTTTGCAGCTCCCTGCTCCTGCCTGCAATTGGAGGAACTCAGGGCAAACCAACTCACTTCCACTCACCTAAGTCAGCCCTGTGTGGAAGATGGAGCCTGACACAGTGGGGCAGCGGGACGGCGCTTTGGTCCTTGACCGTGTGGACCCTGTGGTGATGCAGATGACTGAGGGCTTTGCTTGGCTGCACGTTACTTTTCCCAAGAGGTTGGTTCTGACATTAACTGTCACCGAATGGTAAACAGCCAGCACAAAACCCCCTAAGAAGTTTAAGATAAGAGACTCCACTGTGGGGAAGGAAGAAAAAAACCTAACAGGAAGCCAAGTGGGTAAACCGTTGGTGGCATTGATGTGAGGGCTGCGTCTCTCTGTCCCAGGCCAGAGACACTGTGCCTTTGGCGCGTCGATGCGGAGTCACAGACAGGAAGTCTCTGTGCACCTGCAGGGGGTGGGGCTGGGAAGCGGAGTCCCCAGGTCATGAGATTTCCTCCCATGATCCTCTGGTTCCTGCCCAGGTCCCTCCACATGGTCACTCCCAAGTCAGGAGGCAAAATGACAAGAAGCAGAGACCTTGAGGCTAGACAGGCACCCCCGTGAGGTTGCTGAGTTTCCTTGGGAAGTCACTGACCTTCCCGAGTCCCCTGACCCTTCCGAATGTACCCCCAAGCCACGCCCACATCATGGGGGTGTTTCGAGGACTCACCGCGACGGTGCACGTCAAGAGGCTAGACTGGGCTTGCCGAGCCGTGAGCGCCCAGGCTCAGTGAGGCCTGGGGCCTGGAGACAGGCTCGGGGCTGCGTTTTGCAGACCTGGAATCTGGTGAGAAAAAAATTTCTCAACCATTCAGAGCTGGGGCAAATCTCTCTCTCGAGGCCCTCAGCCTGGACACCATCATCTCAGAGAGAGAGAGAGACCTTAAACATAGCTCGAGAAATATGAATCAAGCACTTTTAGTGCAATGCCCTAAACATTGATTCAGCACCTAGTGTCTGCAAGGTGAAAGGCTGGAAAGACGCCAGGGCTGCCCGGGATGTGTCCTCAGCTGCTCACCATCTGGTGTGGGGACCGGAAATGGGTCTCTCATACAGGCTGTGATGGGGGGCCTTGCATTCAGGTGGAAAAGTCAAAGAAAAGAGGGGAAAGGAATCTAGGCCATGTGAGGTGGCTGGGAGGAGAGGGCGTTCTAGGCACAGGGAGGGCTGTCCACGGGGCTCAGAGAAGCAGGGGAGGAGGGAGAGAGGACGAGAGTCCTCAGGGCCAGGACTCGGTCACCGAGTTCCCTACCTTACTGCAAGCTGCCCACCCCGGGGGCGGAGTAAGTGCAGTGCGGCCAGTGGCTCACTCTGCCCAGCTCGGCTGGACAGCTGTGCAAACACACTGAGGAAAGGGCCTTGAGGCCACGCCTCCATGCCCCTCCCCTCTCCCCCTCCTCCCTAGAGGATGCCCCACGCTGCCTGCATCCCCCTTCCTCGCACCAGTGCCTCTTCTCTCCCTGAAACTGCGGGAATGTGCACGTTAGATGCAAGTCTTCAGTGGCCCCAGAGTTCTCCTAGACCTGTGAAGAGGAGGAGCGGGATGCAGGAGGAGGGACAGGGCATCCAGGTGTCCCTAGGTGGAGAGTCTCACTTCCCAGATCCTCTGAAGAGCTCCAAGGACTGCAGGCCCCTCCTCAGGCTCTCGCAACGACACCCACTGGCCCATCTGTCCCCCCGTCTGTCCCTTCGGTCATGCATTCACCCTCTTGTCTACTGGCACTCACCCCGAAGCACCAGATTCATGCAGCTTGCCGCCCCACCACCTCCTCCTGGCTGTCTTCCTGGGCGTGCCCAGCTCCCCATGTCCCAAACTCACCTCTCTAGAAATATCACCCCCCTCCACTGAGTGGCGCAGGCCAGAAACTTGGGAATCTGACACCTCTCTGTCCTCCCCTTCCTCCCCCAACTTGACATCACACTGTATAGGTTTCAGCTCCGAGATAAAGCCCTGTCTGCTGCTCCCCATCTACACGGCCACCACCCCGGCCTCAGCTGCCATCACCCGTTGCCTGGACACCCGTGGCGGCCACGGCACCAGCCCCACCTTCCGTTGACTCTTCACACAGCAGCTGGAATAATTAAAACGCGTCAATCGGATCACGTTTCTCCTGGCTGAGAACGTTCTAGTGACTTTCAGTTCGACATCAGATGAAATCTGAGCTCCAAGCGCGAGGCCTTCTGTGACAGATCTGTTTGTGTTGTTGCGTCTCCGGCCCCATCAGACTCTAAGCTCCATGAGGACAGGGACGGGGCTGTGTTTACTCTAATGACTGAATGCTCACACGATAACCCTGTAAGGTAGGTAGTGTTACCTCGAAGTGTGTCGCTAGAAGCCTATTTTTATACAGGGTTGAACCTAGTGTCTCGTGCAGTCCTTTCTGATGGTAATTCTGTCGGTGTGTCTGTTTTCCAGTGCAAGCTTCTAGAAGGTAGCGGTGACGTCTGATGACTTTCTCTGGGCTCTGTTCTGGGAGAGGAGAACGGGGGCTGCGGAGAGAGAACTGGACAGGAAGTCATCAAGCCTGAGTTCTAGAGAGGCCCAGGGCACAGCTGTGTGGAGCCTGGCACACCTGCTTCTGTTCCTGACTAGCCAGGTGGTTTTAGGTCATTTAGCCTCCAGGTCCCTGTCCTTAAAATGGGAATAGTAATAATAATACTCACCTTACTGTGTTATTGTTGGATAATTCTAACAGTACGTATTCTTGAGGATTTAAGAGGTCAACAAATACAAATCCTTTCTCTCCTAAATCCAGAACGCAACTGACAGAGAGACTTGCAGAAATTGGACCCTCCCCGCGGGTGGCTGGTGGGAATGGAGCATGCCCAGAAGGGAGTCGGCGGCATAGGATCACTTCCTTCTCCCAAAGGTACCAATCAGGTGAGTCCATTCTCCTCCCTGGGGAGACGGAAGTGGGATGGGGAGCAGGCAGTGACGTGGGGACTCCCGACCCTCCATGGAAACTACAGGGCGGGGCAACCAGTGCTCCCCCAGTGTATGGAGAGTGTCCAGCACCTGATTAATAGTAGCTGTTATTCTCCTGTTTCTAGCTTTGCATGCACTGACCTCCCGCCTGGGTGGATGAAATTATGCCTGAAACCCCTTCCAACTGCAACAAGCGTGGCTCTAAGATGGGGATGTGAGTGAGGCCTCCTCCCTCCCTCCCCCTGCACGCGTTTGTGCTGAGATATGTGCTAGAAAATGCCATTTCGATCTCGGTGAAATGTCTCAAAACATATTTGAAACCCCCTTTCCCTTCTCTCACTTCTGTTGCAGCAGGAGTTACGCCCCAGGTGAGGTTCCCTTGGGTGCCAGGAAGCCGAGGCCTGGCTGCGGTGGGGGCAGGGTTGGAGGCAGCCCCAGGCTCCACTTAGCTGTGTCCTAATGGAAGAGAGCTCTCGAGGCCTCAGTTTCTCAGAAAATGGGGGCCCCAATGTTTACCCTTTCTTCTTGTCCTCTGCTCTGATCTGAATGTTTATGTCCCCTCCCCTGAATTCATCTGTTGGCACTTGGAGATGGGGCCTTTGGAAGGTGAATTAGGTCGTGAGGGTGGATCCCTCAGGAATGGGATTAGTGCCCTCATAAAAGAGGCCCCAGAGAGCTCCCTTGCTCCCTCCCCGTATGAGGATGGGAAAGAGGGCTGTCTATGAACCAGGAAGCAGGTCCTCACCGGACTCTGCCAGCACTTTGCTTTTAGACTTCCCAGCCTCCAGAGCTGTGAAGAATATGTTTCTGCTTTTCATAAGCCACTCTGTCTATGGTATTTTTGTGATGCAGCCCGAATGGACTGAGACACCCTCCTTTCCAGAGCTGCCAGGAGGAGCAAACTGAATCATATCCACGGTAGTAGACATGGGTGCTTCTGTCTGCCCTGGCTTCCACCAGACCCAATTCTCTGGCCATTGTGACTGGCCCGCGGGGTGGTCACATGATACTGTCTCGGCTTATCACAGCCCTTCTCTGGGGCTTTAAGACCCGGAACAGAGAGAGCAAAACCCTTTTTGTATCCTGGTCAGGGAGCTTCTGGAAGTGAGACTGAAGCGGTCAGTGGCCAAGTCCCCTGCCCTGTGGAGAGAGGGGTCTGCAGTGGGAGCAATGGAGGCTGGTCCATCGACAGACGCAGAGACAAGCGGCAGAGCTGCGGCAGGCGGCCCCCCTCCAGTGGGCCTGAAGGTCAGCACCTCCCCCGCCTGACCTGCACTTGGGTCTCTGGAGTCAAGATTCCCCATTTTTGCTTACGCTTATTCCATTTGGGTTTCTGTCACTTGGGGCCACAGAGTCCTAACTGCTGCCCTGTTGGGATGTCCTACTGGCATGTAAGCACCAGGAGAAGAGGCGTCGCACTGCTCCCTGTGGTAACTTCGGCGTCTAGAGCAGCACTGAGCTGTGGAAGGTCTCAGTGAATGTCTGCTGAACGGCTGGTTTCCGCTGTTTCGGTGGCCCTCTCAGTACAATGCCCCGTCCTGAATGATGCCACTTGCCTCGTTCCAGATCCTTCCTTTCCTCCTCTCCCCACTTTCTCCTCTCCCTCCCCAGCCTGATGTTGAGCTGGCATTGCGGCATACATAAATCAGGGCAGCCCCAGGCCTTGTCTTCCAGAGCGTGGATTCTGCATGGGCAGCCGGATGGAATCCGCGCGCCCACTTGAGAAGTCAGATTATAGACGTGCCCTCGAGGTGCAGGCCCAACAGCTGGGGCTTAGACAGGGAGGGGGCTCAAAGTGAGCTTCTGGACAAGTCTCTTCCACTCTGTGGGCCGAAATCCCTGCCTCACGGATTTAGGGGAGCTGATAGTGAGAAGGGATGGGGTGGGGGGTCGGCTGGGAGGACGATTCAGGAGAGACTTCGTTGGGGAAGTACACTCTGGCGGAGACCCTCAAGTCGGTCTGTCCATCCAGAAGCCCTGGCACTCCATCACGACGGGGACCCCTAGCCCGGGCTACGAGGGCGTCCCCTCCTGGGGCTGTCCCAGGTTCTATGGTTACCTGGGAGAGCAAGGCCTCCGACTTAGAAGGCTCAGGAAGCTAGAGATAAAGAGGAGAGGCTGGTGGTCAATGCAGTTCCCTCCAGTGCCTTGGTGGCTCCGTGTAGATCCGGCCCCAGCCCTGTTTTGGTCATTCCAGCCCCGGCCACCCTCTTGGATTTATTAGCTGTGGGATTGTCAGATGGTAAAATGACAGTTCCCAGAGTGCCAGGGAGATGGCAGGAATTCATTTCACACTGGAGTATTCTTCCTAACACCTACTAATGTCCTTCATGTTGGACCCAAAGTTCTGGACTGCTTCCTTTTTACAAAATACTCAGGGATGGGGCTGGGGAGGTCCTGGAGTTCCTCGGGCAGAAGCCAGATGCAGGCAGGCAGGTGGATGAGATGGAAAGGGG